TATATATATATATATATATATATATATATATATATATATATAGAGAGAGAGAGAGAGAGAGAGAGAGAGAGAGAGAGAGAGTCTCAATTTAATTTTCTGTAAGGTGTATGTATTTCTAAGTTGTTGTAACTCACATTTTTTTTTTTTTTAGAGTAAGTCAGGAACCAAAAACAGAATCCGGAGATAAAATTCCATTTCTCTATTAGCTCAAAGGATAGTAGTACAGATTGTGGCCCTCCCACCTGCTGTCTTACACACGTGCACACACGCACACACACACGCACACGCGCACATTGTATGGAGGGCACGCTCCAATGCCCACTGTCTTCAGAGCGAGGCCCTCTTCTGACAAAGCCCCGTTCTCTGCTTTGATCCAGAGCTCCTCATCAGAACCCGACTCAGAGCAGCCTTCATCTCCTTGTTCCGCAGGCTGTAGATGAGCGGGTTCAACAAGGGGGTCGCCACGGTGTAAAAGAGCACCACCACCTTGTCCTGCGTGGCTGAGGAGGTGGAGCGGGGATGCAGGTAGGTAACCAGGGCCATCCCGTAAGACATGGAGACCACAGACAGGTGAGAGGCACAGGTCCCGAAGGCTTTGCGGCGCCCCCTGGTGGTGCGGATCCGCAGGATGGCAGCCACAATGCGGGCGTAGGACAGCGAGACCAGGCAGCAGGGCACCAGCAGCACCAGCACGCTGGAGGCAAATATGACCACCTGGTTGAGGGTGACGTCCACACAGGCCAACCTGATGAGTGCCAGTGTCTCACAGCCCACGTGGTTCAGCACGTGGTGCCCACAGGTGGGCAGGTGCATGGTGATCGCAGTCTCTACCACAGAATTAGCCGTGCCCACAAGCCAAGAGACAGCTGCCAGCCCAATGCAACACCTCGGGTCCATCGCTGTTACGTAGCGCAGGGGGTCGCAGACCGCCACGTAGCGGTCGTAGGCCATTGCGGCCAGCAGTAGGAACTCGGTCCCCCCGAAGGCCAGCGAGAAGAAGACCTGGGCCGCACATCGGGCGAAGGGGATGGTCTTCTTCTCCAGGAGGAAGTGCACCAGCATCTGGGGGACCGCGCTGGAGGTGTAGCAGATGTCCACCAGCGAGAGGTGGCAGAGGAAGAAGTACATGGGCAGGTGCAGGCGGGCGTCCAGTCCAATGAGGAGCAGGATGAACCCGTTGCCCAGCAGGGTCAGCAGATAGGCGGCCCCAAACAGGACAAAGAGTCCAGCCTGGGCCTGCCTGTCACTGGAGAGCTCCAGTAGGACAAACTCATCCGCCCAGGTCAGGTTGTCCTTCTTCATGGAGCGCGTGGGCCAGGCTGCAGGGGAAGGAGCAGAGTCAAAGAGGGGCAAGTACAGATGGCACTGTAGGGGTCTCAGAGTAAGCCATGGGCTGGGGCTGGGGCTGGCATGGGACACCTCCCCTCAGGTTCCTCAACCAAGCTGCTTAAAGGAGAGTGTAGTGAACATGCTGGAGAAAGGGACAGTTTGGTTCTCACACTAAACTGTGAGATCCTCAAGGATAAAGTCCTTATTCTGGTCATCCTTTTATGTCTAGGATTCAGCACAGTTAAAAGTGTATAAGAGATGAATTATCAATGCAGAGGGAAAGAGATAAAACAAGTGTTGGAGGAAAAGGAGAAAGAGTGATAGAAAGAAGAAAAAAAGTAAAAGAGGGAGAAACATGAAGAAAGGAAGCTAGAAAGCAGATGAGGGAAGGAAAGTGGAAGACCGAGAAGAAAGACAGACGCTTCAGTGTGGGGGAGCAGTGGGTTAAGTATTATAATCAAGCACTTGAGATCAAGAGCGGTACCCGGGTTCTTCAGGGTCATTCCTGAAAGACTAGATTCAGTTGCTCTTCATGGTTTTTTTCTGGGTCGAGGCTAGGTTACCATGTAGAATGGATCTACTCAGATCACTCTCATTGAGTCCATCAGCCCAGATGAAGTTTAAATCCTTTCAACTCATATCTTTTCAGCGCCTGTATGTGCCAAGGACTGTGCTAGACCTCAGACACCTGACTGTGACCACGAAAGACAGAGACACGAGTCCAGCTGCCTTGGTTCTTACAATTTAATCAGGAACACAGATCAAATTAATAATGAAAAAATTAATTAAGTGTAATTGTGCTAAGTGCTATGAAGAAGAATAAGGTTAGTAGTTGGTTAATTAAATTTGCAGCTATAATTACATTACCACTGCAGATATGCCTTCCTTCTCAATAATGGGCAATTCATATAATACACTGCAGGCATTTACTTAGGTGTTTAAATAAATGATTTACAAAAGAATGTCATGAGAGCATTTGGAAATCAATGATACTCACATATTACTACCGAGTATGAAGTGATTGAAATCTGCTGAAATTTTTTCAGAGGGAGTGAGTTCTCCTTTCTCAGCTAAGATTGCTCTGGGTTACCTCCCTTCCAACATGTTGACCAACCCTCTAGAAAAATAGAATGAAATGCCATGAGTTTTTCTTAATACAAATGGAATCTCAAGGTGTATTTCCTGCCTTTAAAATAATTAGTAAATTAATTAACTCATTTATTAAAAATATGATTGAGTACAAGGATCTAGGAAATGCTGCCTTTCAACATTAGGAATTGGTGTGTAGAAAAAAGCAGTGCCACAGAATTAAAAACAAATTTTTTTTAATTGGATCTTGGTAATATCTGTGAGAATCAAATGGGACAGCCAAACAAAGGACAAATGCAACATATTGATGTTAAGAAAACCAAAGTGGAGCCACGGAATCAAATACAGTAGAATTGAAAAGCATAATCCAATTCAGGTTTCTTCTGGCTGGGAATGGTGGCCTGGGCTCTTCCTGGTGGAGGGAGAGAGAAGATAATTTGGATGGAGCAGGCATCTCTTGCCTTCTATTCAGCCCTGGCCCTGCAGTAGCTGGAAGGTGTCACCATAGAAACTGCTAAGGCTAGAAAGTGGTTTCCCAGTCTCAGAGTTGGAGACTGGGTTCTAGGGCCCGAGCACCATAGCTGATGGATGGCTGGGGTTCTGAGTATGGCCCCAGGGAGCCCATGGCTGCCCACAGAGCCTGGTCCTTGTACCAGCAGAGGAAGTAATTCATCTCTGTTCTACTATGATTCACCCCAAATTCTCACCTTCAAAGTCAGCGTCATGGATAAGAACCCCTTTAGGCCTCTCTTACTATATAAGAAAATTAAAAATGTTAGAAATTAAAGGAAACATTAGAAATTGTGTTGCCTATCCATGTCATTTAATGGATGAGGAAACCAAGGACTCTTTTTCCCCCAAATTTTTGATGGTGTTTTTAGAGGATGATAAACTTTTTATTATTAAATAGCTTTCCCCTCTGATTTTTGGGGTACTTAGAGAATTTCATTCCACTTTGCTTGACTTGGTGAATATTTACTGAGCACTGAGCAGTGCCTGGTTCAGTGGCAGGTGCTGGAGTAACAGCCTCGCCTCCTTGTCCAGGCTCTCAGCCTGGCAGGAGGAGAGAGAAAACGAGTTATGATCGTATCAGGGTTTCCGAGGATGCTCAGTTATAAAGTCTGGTCACTGGCGACATAAAGTTGGAAGATGTAAATAGGCAGATACATAAAACTAATGAAGTGAAGCAAATGAGTCCATTTGCTTCTTGAAAAAAGTCGATGAGGGTTAAGGTGTGTGGAGATTGGTCGCAAGGAGACCTGGGTTTCAACCGGTATCAATCAACCATCGAGACATCACATAAATCACTACCTTTTTGAGCCAGAGTTTCTTTGTCTGCACAATGAGCAGGTAAACACCAAGATTTCTCCCAGCTCTAGAGATCTGCAATAAAAGAATATACATAAGCTGTAGTTCAAGGCAGTATAAAAAGGGATCAGTGTTAAGCAGTCTTTGATCACTCTAAGAATGTATAGTTGGTGAGACCAGAGGCAGTAAAATATTATGGGTGACTGGGTTTGGGAATAAAAGCATTCATATCACACATAACTGTTTGGAGAGGTGTCAAAGAATGGGACCAGGCTGACTTGAAAACCAGAGGCTCATGAAATAGGGAAGGGACCCTACAATTAGAAATGAGAGGACCAGTTGGTTAAGGCTGAAAGACTTGTAGCCCTTCTGATAGATATATCTGCTTCTTTCTAAAGTTGGTCCCAGATATTTCCTAGAGTGAGATAATCCTTAACACCAAGTTTTCCACCAAATCAGGGTCCAAACCTAAGAAAAGATGGGGTCCATGTCTATCTTTAGTTCTTATACCGATCACAGCCCTTTTCCGTACCTTCTTCTTAACTCCAGCATCGTGCAAATGCCTGGGGACCAAGAAAAGAGCCTTGTCTCTTTTGACCTCCACTCTACAGTTCTTTGAATATATGTCTGCAAATCCTGAGCACTTCAGTTCATACTGTTGATTGGATGACTGACCACAACTGAGCACTCTATTGAGTGGCTCGCAAAGGCGTTGCATGGCTATGGGAAGAATCAAAGAACGACATACAACCAGTGAGAAAAACAGGGGAGGATTCCAGGGCAGTCCTGGATGCTCCCAGGAATTTGGGCTGTATCATCTCAGCCTCCCCATAACCTTCCCCGTGGGGGACTCACCAAGGGTCAGTGCTCACCTTAGGCACAGAGCTCATTTTGGATGGAAAGGCAGCACATCTGCCAGGAAGTCCTTGAGGCAGTTGTCCATCCTCTTCCTGGGAATGGAGGTTTTACTTTGT